GGGTTGGGCAGTGGAGATGGAGGGGAGGACAAAGCAGAGTGCAAAGCCACCAGCTCTGTCAGAGCCCAGCAGCAGTACGTACCACTGTGTTGTGGGGGATGTCCAAGGTGTCCAGTGTGCCTTCAGAAGGAGGGGTGGGAACTGATGCACAGCAACACTTGGGAAGGTAAAATTTAAAAGGCAAGTCTGATTGTTGTGTAGTTTAATAATAACATGTGCTTCATGAAGCTGAAACATGGCTGGAGCATAAGCAGGCTTGTGCTGGTTGAGGATGGCTTCTGGCTGAGCAGAGACTGGAGAAGGACTGGTGGGAGTGCTTGGGGGGAACACAGAGGGTGCAGATGTACTGGCACTCAGCGGGCACACACTGGCCCTGCTGGCATGGTGGCTCTGATGGCCTTAGAGAAGCTGTTGGAGTGTTTTGGACTTGTTATTAAAGGCTAAATGCCTGACATGCTGCAGTGCTGAGAGGGTGTGGGGGCTTGGAGTGCTTCAGTGCTACACTGAAGGCTTTGGCTTTGCAGGGGTAATTCATTTTGCTTTTAGTTCTAATGGCAAAGACTTGGGACCCCAGTGAAACTGGCTTTCCACTGATATATTTAATTATCTGTTTGATTAATTTACTTCTCACATCCACTTCTTTTGCTTTAAGCAAAAGACACCTTAAGCAAGGACCAGGGCAGAAAATGTATTTCTGCAAGGATGAAGATGGCTCTTTCCATGCAGAGGGATTTATAAGCCGCCTTCAACTATTTTTTGATTAATAGATAGTGTTACTGAAGTGTTAACACATAAGGCAGAAGTCAAGCCTCTGTTATTTTTCTCTCTTAGAGGTGAAAACAGAGTGCATTGGCTTGCAGCGTGTGGTGTTTTTGTGGGGTTTATTTGGGAGCTGCAGCAAATAATTGTGACCTCTGATTAGAGGAGTGATTTAAAACTGCTCTTTGCTATGTTAACTTGAAGTTGTGAACTACAAAGGTTTGCAGTGAATAGCTTATGAATAGAAAAGGGACTCTGTTGGAACTCGCTATTATGTTTGAAGTTGGTAGAAACTAGAGATTGAAAAGACCCGCTGGTTCACTGAATTAATTCATTGCACATGCAAGACAGAAAGTCCTGGCACACTGATATCTTTCCTATGTTTCTCAGGAAAAAGAAAATATGTTGAGATGTTTCTGGACAAAATTCTTTGACACAAGGCAATCCATTAGGATGTCTACATTTTGGCCCAGTCTGCCGTCTAGTTAATTTTTACATTAAATTTTCAGTGTCAGTTGCAGAATGACTAAAAAATTAAAGCTTCATGTAGAAGAAAATGATTTATTATGTATTTCTCTTTCTTGCAGTGAAAGGAAATGTTATTCCATAGCTGTTTCTGTTCTGGTTTTCTCTGAAGAATAGTCAGTTTAGTCTAGATGTTGTGAAAACATAAATGAAACACAAGGCTGATAATGTTTTTATTTTTGTTTGGTTTTTTGTTTGTGGGTTTTTTTTTTAATGTAAGTCAGAAAATAATTTTTAAAACTGGCAACCCACGGCTTTTGAAATCCAGTAATGACACAGTAAAATCTTGTAAGCAGTAAGGAAACAAAATATTGGTGATATTTGGTGATTATGCCAAGTGAAAAGAAGAAAATAAAGTCTGTAAAGAGTGATGAGCAAATTCCATGTGAAGAAATTTCACTTGTCTAATAATTGAACTTAATTTAATTTAACTAGATGTGTAGGCCAAGAAATCTTTTCCTTGTTCCTTTTATTTTTTAATGGACTTTCATAGGAAGTTGATAGAGTTTCTCAAAGGAATAGACTTGCTAGCTTCAATTTGTGAATGGTGCAGCCTACTTTTGTCTTTAGCTTATAAAATTTAGTCTATTTTGTCATGACTACTTTCTTTGTTAAAAGGTAAAATGCACATTGGGCAAGTGCTCTTTGGCAATTTGCATAAAAAGTGATGACAAAGAACAATTAATTCCTCATTATTATGCAGTGAAATGCTACTTTCCTCCTAAGTGACTGTAGAGGAAGGTTTCTTCCCTGCGTGTAAATCTGTTGTGGCATTGTTCTAAAAATAGTACTTAAGAGCCCTCTGCACTCTTTGTAAATCAGGGTCTTTGACACTCCAGTCAGTTCTCAGCAGAGAGATTTTTGTCACACATGCTGAACACCACAAGTATCGCCCCAAATATTCATCACAATAATAAGCATCAAAATTTTGTTAGATAAGGCAAGATAGAGTAATTTAGTATTTTGTCAAATTAGATCTCTATCCTTTTTATCTGGAGATCAGTATTCAAAGTACACTCAGATCACACACAAATAGAAACATATTCCTGCCACACACAGCTAGTCTGTACAGAACAAAGAGTCAAGATATTGTTGTCTATGAAGGCTTGATTCTGAGTACAGATTTCATTACCAGCTCACCATAGGATAATGAAATTCCTTCGGGGCAAAGATGAGGTACATCAAAGAGGCAGCATGGAGAGGCAGACTTTGTTAGTGCATGCTCTGTCACCTGCATTACTGGTCCTTGCCTGCCTTTAATTTGTAAGGAAATGCTAGTAATTCAAACCCTTTTATTGGACCAACTTATATTTATATATATATCTATGTGCATAAATGTATGTGCATACACAGAGAAATATGTATTTTTTAACATACAAAACCTTCTGGAAGTTGTTTGGCTTTGCAGCTGAAATGGAATACAGAAAATAATTAATTTCTTGCAAGCAAAAAATTGCCCATACAGGTCCTAAAAGCATCTTTGTATTTACTAAATAAATGCTGTCTGCACCATGTAGATAAATAACCCTTCCTGCAACTTTGCCTTTTTATTTTGGTGGCAATTCAGAGTGACTTTAGTGCCTATGGAAATGAGAGGACAATGTTCAGCAAGACCAGGAGCTGCTGAAGACATGAATCACTAAAGCTTTCCCACAAAGCTTTGCCAATATGGGAACAAAAGGGTTGCCCTACAGAAGCACATCACGGGTCTATCTAGTCCAGCATCCCGCCTCTGGCAGCGGCCAGTAACTGATGCTGCAGAGCAAATCAAAACCACAGCAAGCACCTAGCTAATTATGAGATGCGATGTGTAGAGGAAAAAAAAGGTTGGTCCTGACTCACAAGAGAGCAGTTTATGCCCTGAAGCGTGAGGTTTGATTTCCCTTGTATCCGTTTGCTTAACTCACACAGTTGCAAATACTATTTATGCTTAAAAGAGTTTCTAATCCTCTCTTGGATTCTAATCAACAATCTGCCTCAATAACCCGAGAGTTACCAGGAAGTTCTCGGGGCTGAGCACACTCTGCATGAAAGCTTTGTGCTTTGCTAGTTTAGGGAAAGTTTTCCAGCCTTGGCCTAACACCCACTGCCCCGAGGATCATACCTAATTGTCTAGATGAAAAATACCCAAGCTACCACTCCCTTCCCCCTGAGCCCTGCCTAACTGAAGCAGTCCCAGCCCCCACTTGTGAAATGATTGCTTTGGAGAGATTTCTTTTGCTGGCACTGGGCAGTGGCTCCCCCTTTCTATCCTTCCAGGAGGTTTGGACAGGTTCCTCTGTGTGTCTCACATCTCTGTGTGAGAGGTCTGCCAGCAGTCAGAGGATACTGCCTGGCCTCGCTGCCTCCCTCCCCGTGTTGCAAAGGAGAGAGCAGTGGCAGGGAGAGGAACAGGGCATAGGGAAGATTCACAGAGGGCAGTAGTGGTGTCAGCTTCTTTCTGTCCTTTCAGTATTTCCTCATGAAATAGCAAGCAGGAGTTCCACTTGGACTGCTCTGTGAAAACAGAGTCTACAATGCCTGTGAGACTCTCTCTTCTTACCAGCTTAGTCCACATTTTCTTCTCTCCTTGCAAGAATGCAAGCAATGCTTTCAAATCATCTTTTGATGACCTTGCATGACCTTGAGGATCATTGCAGAATGATCCTGACTCCATTACAGCAGAGTGATAATCCTCTCTGCACTCTCTCCATTGCATGTAGTTTTCTACTATGTACATGGCAAAATGGCTATTCAAATGCAGCATATGGACCTTAACAGCAATATCAGAAGGTAAAGGAGATCAAAAAAGGCTTAACAACTCCCCGTGGGGCCTAAGTGCTCAAGCCTAGGGATGTGAGCCTGAGCCCCTGAACAGAGAGGTGGCTTCTAAACAAGGAAGTGCCCAACTCTGAAGGTTTTCATCTCAAAGTTTTGCCTTCACTGCCTGAGGCTGTCATTGCTGCACAGGTGAAGGAAGACAAACTTCAGTTTTGAGGTGGCCAGCAGACTGACTCCAACTTCTGAGACAGCTCCAAACAGCTCTCACAGCACTGCTGCCATGGCATCCTCGCCTCTGGCCATGTTTTCTTATCCCTTCCCTGCTACTTGCCCCTAAGGCAGGCACTGGTGTTGCAGCACGCTGGTTTGGGACATCAAGTGGCTGCACAGTTCTTTGCAGAATTAGTTTTCTGCCAGCACAATTTCCTGAACCAGCTGACCAGAGCAGATAAGAGCAGGACATGTGCAAAGGGAGGAGTGGGAATGGGAGTCTGGGGATAGGGCAGAGCACTCCATCTTGATGTGGATCCTCTGCCTGGAGAGTCCAGCAAAGAGGCACCCCTGGCTCAGCCTGGCACCCCACAAGAGGCTGATCTGCCTGCTTGGTGCTCCCCTGTGACCTTTCATCACCTTTGTGTTTTAGTGAGGGACAGTACTGTGGGTCCAAGAAGAAAGGCAGGTTGGTGCAGTGGGGAAGGGAGGAGGGGAGGGGACATGGGGGTCAGGTAGTGGGCTCAGACAGTGAAGAAAATGTGATGAGTCTGCTGGCTTACTGCAGGCTTAGAATGGGGAATTCTTGAACCTTGTGTGCCCTTCTGTGTGAGGCAGAGACACAGGGCATGTTGGGAGTGCAGAGAGGGCTGGGAGCAAGCTGCCTGCATGAGCAGTGAGGGTGGGCATATTTGTGTTTTCCTGCCTGATGTCCTTTTCCCTTCATGTTTTCTCTGTACCTAAAGGCAGCCATGCTTCTGCTTCTACCAGCCTTCCCAGGATCTCTTCAACTGCTGCTTCAGCTACGGCAAACAACAGAACAAATCCCAAATCAGAGCCCTTGTTCAGCAAAGATCTACACACAGAAGAAACAGCCTGCCAAATACAGAGGTCTGAAACTGCCTGCAGTGTGTTGGTCTGTTTACCTAGCATGGCTCATGCTATTCTATTTGCTTAAGTGTCATTACATGCATCCTGGGAGAGGTGAGAGGAATGCCTTCTGCAACCTATGCTGAGTTTTTCTGAAACCATGATGTGAAAAGAATGCCATTTCATGTCAAGGAACTGTTATTTCACCTAGCATTTTGTATTCCTCAGACTACATTTTACCTGCCTGGGGTGTGTATGTGTGATCTACTGAAATCACTCGCCATCTTCCATAATTTATGCTGCTCTTCAGTCTTAGCAGTGTGCATAAACTTCAGTGACACTTTGTCATTCCTCTCTAAATCATTTTGAAAAATCATTTGAGGAACAGCTCCAGATCCATGGTATTCTGTGTTTCTCCTGCTTCACTTTCCAGACCAGGTTCTGAAGTGGCAGGATGACACAGCAGAAGAAAAATCACAGCCAGGAAGGTGTGCATTGTCCCAGTAGCAAGAAATTGGAATGTATCATGTGGTAGCATGAACCTTGGCATACCTATTCAGCCTGGCAGTGTCATCCCATGGTGATGGAGGCAAGGAGAATCCAGCTGAAAGAAAATGTTCACCTTTTTCTTCAGGCAATCTCTTCATAAAACCTCACAGTGAGCAAATAAACATAGTGGAAGAGGGGAGGTGTGAGGGGTAATCTTTAAGACACTAGGGACTTAGCATTTACTATTGTCACGCAGGACTGTACCCAGATTATTTGTTTCCTATTGCTTAATCCATTTATAACACAGTGTACTAATCCACAGTTTGTCATTTGACCCAGTGCCCTGCTGTGTGGAGCTCTGTCAAAGGAATTTGAAAACCTGCTGACACTTTCTGCTTCCTTAAATCAATGGGACTCTTTTGTGGGTTTGAGGGAGAGAGCTGCAGCTCAGCTGGCCTGATCCCGCACCCCAAATTAACAATGTCTGTGGTTGCACATAGTGAGCCTCCTCAGTGCTGGAGTTGACCCTGCCTACCTTCCTTTCTGTCTCATATTTTGGAAGAGAGAAATTCTTTAGTCTTGGAAAACATCCTTGTTTTTCCACACTGCATGCTCTTGCCAGTCTTTCTGTTCTGAAGTTTAGCTTCTGAACACTCCTGAATTCTTTTAACTTCATCAGCTTAGGTTTTCTTAACTTGCTCCTTTGCCTCCTCTTCAGAAATGTTTATCTTCATAACAGCACAATCAGCATTTCAATAAATTTCAAAATCCCCCACTACAGTGAGAACAAATGTAAATAATAAATTCAGCTTCTTGAAAATATCTTAATCCTTGTTAATTGTGTCCTTAGTTCCGTAATGACCCGGAGGGCTTACAGAGGCACACATGCAGCTTTATTTATGTTTAGTCTATTTGAATAATTATATATTGTTTATCTTATTATCTTTGGCTTTTCACTCCCTCTCCTCCCTCTGAATTACTGTCTATTTACAGTTTACTTGTGCTGAGCTGGTTTGGTCAGAATTTCTAACATGTCTGTGTGAAAGCTCCCTCAGTGCTGTCCTGGAGGCAATGTCTCTGAAGTTCACAGCACCACATTCTACTACAGCAGCTCCTGCCTTGAAAGAGCCTTCAAGGCTCTGAATTTTTTTATAAAGATTTGTTTGCCTCAGTTCAGTGTGATAAAGAAGTACAATGTAATATTTCAGTGAGGCATTTGATTTTTTAAATATAGTAATCATTAACAAAGATATTAGTCAGAAGAGCAACTTTAACTTAAGGTTGGCAGATACTTTCCTCCTGTCAGCTGCTTATAATTCCCTCATTTTAACCATTGCAGGTGATTTCTTTTAGGCTCTGGGTCCATCTCATCAATTAAAACTGTCTTTTTTTGAGAAGGGGAGTGGGCATTTTTGGAAGCAAGGTGGGCCAGGAGGTGAGGGAGGTGGTGAGAGTGGAGCTGAATGAGAAGCTGGTAGGAAACACTGAGACAACCCAAGGATCAGGGCTGAAACTCAGCACCTGCACCCACCTCTACCTCCCTTGGCTGCCTGTGGGGGTCATTTACAGCACTGCCCTTTTGGAGCGTGTGATTTGTACAAAGGAGGCCCTGGACAGGACTGCAAACTTAATTTGTACGTCTGATGTAAACTGGCAGTGAGGCAAACCTGTAAAGGTGCACAGGTAATTCACTACCTTAGCCAGCCTTTAATTCTAAGTAATTTCCATTTCTATTCATCACTGAGAAGGTCATGACAGAAAAACTTTTGACCAAGTAATCTTTGCTTTCTTTTTACAGCTTTGGTACAAAACAGATTAATTAAAAAGGAGAGGAAAATAATCTGTTCCTTTCTCTTGTCATGAGAACCACATGTGCTGTGTAAAGTAGAGAGTGAAAAGAAGCAAGGGCTCTAAGTAGAGGATTATTTTATGTATTTCATGGGAAAAAGTTGTTCAGCTCTTTTCAAAGCAAACTATGCCTACAGTACTTTAGAGGGAAGTAGGAGGAAATGACAATAATTATATCTGAACTGGCTTAGGGCTAAATTCTGCAGATGAATATGGGTGTGACTGGGCAAAATGTTGTCTTGATGTTAACCTGAAGGGAAAATGAACTTATCAAACCTAGATTCATTTGCAAAAAGTGTTACATGTGTTTTTGTCTATTCACACAAGTACATTTGATTTTTTTTTCTTATCTGAATGTGCAAATTAGCCTATTCTTTATTCACCTTTGTAGGAGCATATTCACATGCAAAAGTATGACAACTTAGTTTCAGTATCTCAGTCTTAAAGATCTCAAATAGCCAATGTAAATATTAGTGGAGAATATAAAATGTAAAAGAAAATTAATGACAACTTGAGTATTTGTGGATTTTGCTCAGAAGTAGATGGGAAAGTGAGTAAAGACCAAGGAAGCAAAAGACCCATAAGCTTATCTGTGGAATTAGGGGTATCAGTAGGACAGATTGGATTATGTTATTGGTCAAGGCCAATAGCCATGTTCATAAAGAGTAAGAAATAAGAAAATTATTAAAGGGAGCTTATGAATGTAAAACTTTAATACGTGGGACATCATAGACAAATCAAAGAAGCACTAAAGGATAAAAGAGTCTAGTCCTATGTGGTGGAAAAGAGAGCTCTGCTAAAAGGGTCTAGTCCCATGTGGTGGAACAGAGAGCTCTGCTGCAGCTCTTAAGTGCAGCAGTCATGGTGTTAATGAAAAGCAAGGTTTTTTTCAACATCCAGAATTGTATGGGTTAAAAATTCTTTCTCAACTGACGAGAGCTCAGCTAAACAGATCAAAAAGAGAAAGAAAACCAAAACACAAGCTCAGAAGTTGCCTTTGCCTTGTACCAGGAGTCAGAAAGTGTCAAAAGATGTGTCATATCTTAAAAGGCTAAATGAAAAGTTATAGTTCCTCAGTACATGAAGAAAGAAAAGCTTTATTGAAATAGTTTCTTTGTCGCATCCTATAAAAATATTATGAGGACAGGATGTATAAAAGAGTAAGAAAAACAGAGGTTACTGGAAATTCATGTAAAGACAAGTTTCTCTATCTTACAGCATAACAAGAGAAAGCCATCATTCCCAATACAAGTGTTTCTAATTATATGGAGGTTTGGGGTTTTTAAAAGTTTCTGGACTTTTCTGCTAAAAACCTATGGCACTTGCTGAAAACTGACTGCTACAGATGTTACCAGAGTAGCTGGAAAACCCATCCACCTTTCTGAACTCTGATTAACAAACAAGATAAACATAATTTATGTTCTCCAGAAATGTGTTTTTTGAAGTGAATGGCCAAGGTTTTCACTGCTGAATTTTGCCATAGCATCCACAAGTAGTGCCATACCAGGGGCTGTTCCTTCAGCAGTGCTGTGCAAAACACCCTCCCCTGCCATGGAACGTGGCTGTGTTTGCAGAGCTGTGGGGACGTGCATCCTCAGTGGGGCTGCCACTGCTAATTCTGGCCAGTTTTCTGTAGTCAGACCTTGAAAAAGGCTGGTGAAAACAGGTTGCCTCTAGCACATACTGAAGTTTCAGTGGTTCCAGCATTTTGTTCTTAGGTCCCACTCATTGTGCTGACTCCTCCTGCCAGGTCTGGATGAAAGTAGTTGATAGAGTTGACCTTGTCCTAGTTTAGGGCAAATCTGGGAGGAAAACTCCGAATGGGGATACAATTCAGCATCATAAAGTCACCCGAGGAGAGACCTGTACACCATTTCTGTAAATCTGGGAGATTTCTACTCCTTGTTCCACTGGAAATACATGAGTGGGACTGAGAGTCAAATGAAACTACTACTTTTCTCAGGGGCAAGCACTGAAATATTTCCCCCTGAGACACAAGTCGTAGGTGGGAGCTATAACATTTACCTGCAGCTGATTTGAAACTTAGTGGAACTTTGAATGTGTGCCAAACAAAGTAAGTGGGAACCATTTAATTCTATATATTCCAGCTGAGTCTAGGCCTTCCTTCAAGACAATTTTGGATGCTACTTGAGGCTTAAGTTGCTGGAAAGCCCTGTTATTCACCCTGAAAATTGTGGTGAGATGAAGACTAGGTAAAGGGAGGGAATACTCAGGTGGGTTTCTGAGCCTGTTCAGGGCTGCACTAATGGTGGTGAGGAGAATGACCATTGTCTTTGTGCCTGGTGTGACAGACTCCCCCCTGCCAGCAGCCTCCACAGCCATGTGCACAGGCAGAGCTGGCTGGATTAGAAGATTTACAGTGTTTCTTAGAAAGAGCCCAAGATTGCTACTAGAAGGACTTGCAGAATTTGTAAACTGCAGCAGCCTAAATTCAGATTGAATGCAAACACAGTAAGGATTTTGGGGAGTTAGGATGTGGGCATCCTCAAGAATCCCAGTTCAGATACAAAATAGATCCTTTCCCTGACCTATAGTCATGTTGAAAGATACACAGAGAGAAATTCCACCTTCAATTAGATAAATTCTCACTTCAAATTTTTCATGGCTTTTTGCATGCTTACTCACTGATACCAGCATAAATCAGTTGCTAGGTCACTTCTGAAACAGGAATGATTTGTATCATCCATGCACTGGAGAAATGGCTTTGCAGCCCACTGGGTACCCTGTCCCACTGCCTTCACCAGGAGATACATGACTGTAACTGGACTGTTGCTGACTCCAGAGACCTTGATGAACACCATCTATTCCTCATCAACTATTAAGCTTTTTTGCAGTGAGACTAGAAAAGGGCATAGGCCCCTGGAAAGATGTATCCAAAATGCTGCGTTTCTCCTCTAAGTGCTGCAAGGTCTCCTCGTCTTCTTTCCAGCCAAGGAAATTTTGTTACAGTGCATAACTGAAACCAGGTATTTCTGGCATCTTTAGGCTGCTGACATGTACTCTGGGAAGAATTGCTACATGTCTTTCTCCCAGCTGAAAACCAAGTAAAAGCAAACACTAGCCATAATACTGATTGATAACTAGCTGTGGTTTCTGTTAACAAAGCTCTTTTACACACACAGTGGAGAAGCAGCAGACTGTGTGTTGTTAGCAATATATTGTCTTCTCACTATTGTTAGGATGGCATTTCATCACCTCATTTTATTTATTCCATCTGTTTCATACTGACTTTGCTATAATGCTACTTTGAGAATAAAGTGATCGTTTGTTTGTACTGATATCAGAAATAAATATAAAATGTTTTTGAAAGCACCATAAGGATGGAGGGTTTGATGGGATTATGGTGAAAGCGAGCAAGCTGTGAACAGAGACACAGACTGCTGCAAGAATCCCTGGAAGAAATGAGTTAGAGGTTATTAAGGGAGAAAGGAGAAGAAAGATGTTCTTGTGACTAAGGCACTGGACTGATATTAAAGAGGTCTGGTCTCTGTTCCTGGATACATTATTGGATTCCTTTGTGACCTGTGACAAGTCACTTAGTCTCTCATTGCCTCAGTTCTTCACCACTAAAATGAAAGTAAATAAAATTTCTTTACCTCACCAATCTATTTCAGAGACAAATCATTCAAAAGTTATGAAATACTCAGCTGTTAAAGTGATGAGCACAGGGGAAAATGAGTAAATCAATGAATTCTAACTCTGCTTGTGATGAGTTTAGTGAGACATTTCTCCAGCCAGTGAACCTGCTATAAAGACAAACACTGGCTTTTTCCTAGTCAGAGAAATATCAATGACCAGTTTTTTTGTGAAGTCATAACAAAGTCTGAGATATTTTTAAGGATAATATATCGGTAAAGGAAAAAAAAAATGAAACCCCATTTTTTCTTATCACATCAAGGAAGAAAAGACCCAAGAGAGGGAATGATAGATGTCCTAACTGTATAAAATGAAAGCTTGAA